TCGGTTTTCTCATCAGTGTTGCGAAGTTGTCTCTTTCTTACCGAAGCTTTTACCTAGGCCTAGCCATTCATTTTACAAAGAAGGGTTAAATCGACTCTACGCACTTAGTTAAAATGACAAAGATATTCATAAATAATAAAAGATCTTCCCCTCACAGATAGCCGACCTTTGTCTCATGTGAACAAATTGTTTGGTTACTCCATCGAACTCTTTACGAAGTGTTAACACTCCGCATATTTTTTGGTTTAGTTATTGAAATTGTCCCGCAATGAAATCTTATGCTACTAAAACCATCCTAATAGAGGAACAAGTTTAATTTATTGGCGTTTTCTATTTCTTAATTAGGGGCCATCATCTGTTCCGTCGTTTATTTCTTAATAACAATTTGTTTGATTAACTTCGGAAGTTATATGTCTCTCATGATGAAGACCTTTTAGAGGTCAAAAGATTACTTCCAAGAACTTCTACGACTGGGTCCAAAACTCAACGTAACAGTCTCTGTAATACCATTACAAACAGGGCTACAGCTGTGAGGATTAGGACAAGACTTGCTCTCCTACAAGCGCGCTGCTAATGTGGTTACTAAGCTATTAATAATTCCCTGTTAAAAGCTACTAGTACCAGGTTAACTCATATGGACCAAAAAGGAAGTGAAAAAATGATGGCCTCCACTTTTACTTCACAAACAGTACCAATTTACCCTAGGAAAGACGGGGGAAGGGGAGGAATAAACGCAGCATAACTTCACTAATAGAAAGATTAACACTTGTAATTGAAATATAAGTCCGACATTCGTCACTATCTCAAGACTCAGTTGGCAGCCTTGTAAATATCCAAAAGACTTTAAAGTGGCAGCATTGCCGTAAATGTGTAATAGATGGGGCTGAATTATCTAATTTTACAGGTTTCACTGCGCCATCCCAAGCTGATACTTCATGCAAGGAATGCAAGGGATCACACTTCTGTGAAATGAGTTTTCTCACTTAAGTTTGACGGTGATCCTTCCCATAGCTCCGCTAGCTCCTTTCTCATCCACGAAATGACAATTATGGGCCCCAAAGTTGATGGTACCTATTTTAGTCAATTAAAGATAGACAGAAAACAGTGTAGGGACCAGATCAGATCATGCTTGTTGTGGGAAAAGAAGTGCTTAAACCACCATAAGAGGAGATCCTCAAAAAGTAAGAGATTTGTAAAAGATAGACATGAATAAACTACTAAAAACTTGTCATTAAGTTCTAGATTTATGCAAGTAGTTAGTACTATACTTCTTTTTTGGAGTCAACAGAGCAAAAACTAGTCTCTGGCTAGTAACTCATCAGCATTGAACTCAACATAGTCTACAAATGTTTAAAACGGGGTATGAAATAGTGCAGAGTATTCATGGCAGATCAATCTACTCATGCTGAGTTGAAAATGTCACTCATGTCTTAACATGGCTCTCCAAGGACTAACTAGCACTCTCTAAGAGCCATACCCAATAACCACATTAACGATGGTTGAACACCACCGCAATGCTGTGAGAGAGCCACTTGTGACGCTCGTTTCACTGTATTGGGAAAGAATGCACGCTTCCAATTTCTGGCTAATTCTTAAGTGCTTCTCTAGTGTGTAGGAAGAAACCCTTGTTGAAGTTCCCACTAAAGAAAGGAAACAAAATTCTGCCTACGTGATTTTCGCAAAGCATGCCCCGCCCAAGCCTAGTTACTGGAGGACAGTTGCGGTAGGTTGATAACCACTGTAAAAATAGTGATATTATAATTAGTCCTCTTGTTATGGTGGTGTAGTATCAAATAAGCAACGGATTCTATTATAGTGTCACGTGCGTTTCAGGGACTATAAGCTAGGTTTTCACACACAATTAAGTGGTGCAAAACAAATAGTCCCACAGATCAGTATCTGGATATGGTGCTAAATGGAAAATGATTCCTGCATCTTATTGGCTTATGGAGGTAAGCTATCCAAGAGAACGGAGTTCGAATAGATAGTTGGAAAATAGAATTGACAGGAAAGTCAAATTAGTTTATACCTTAAAGCGGACGAGAGCTGATTTTACGTGTCTATGAGAGACGAAAAGGACAGATAAAGGCTTGACATAGTGGCAACAAGATATAAATTACGGAATTATGGGACTAAATAAAAGCTGGAACGCGAATCATTGTATAACTAGGACTTCAGATAAACTTGTAGAAGTAAGGAGAATGGACCGAAGGATTATCTTGTTACGACTAGTATGGGGAAAAGAGACAATCAACAATCAACATCATTAGTACAACTGCTCCACGAATAGGATTAACGAGGAAACTAAACCTAAATATGGGAACAATATTGTTACGTTGATCCAAATGCACATTTAGGTAGACCTCCATATGCACCAACCCATAGGCGCGATACTATGATAACTGATATTACAAAAAAGAGAGGATAAGATAGACCTGAAATTATATGCAAGGAAGTCGTCTCCAAAAAAACCAGCAGTCTTAAAATCCATACAGAATTAGATAAAACAGGACGTAATGGAAACATAGGATCCATATAAGCAATAGTAATTCCTTATCAACAACAAGCCTATTATCATTAAAGCATGGGGACCGGAGTTTAATTTTAGCGAGGAAGTGTTGAGAATGGTGCCTATATGGGTGAAGTTCCCTAATCTTCCCTTGAATTGCTGGGAGATGGAGACGCTAAGCAGGCTTAGTAGTGGATTAGGAAACCCAATTTATGCTGATGAATGTACTACCAGGGTGGATAGAATTTCTTTTGCAAGAGTATTAGTGAAGATGGATGTTACAGTGCCACTGCCCCAAGTGATTAAAGTCAAGGATCCAACAGGCAAGGCCTTTGAACAGGAAGTCTGGTATGATTGGGAACCTGAGTTTTGTGAGACCTGTTTGCTAGTAGGCCATAACTGCAATGGTGCATATAGCGAACATATACCAGATCAGTTACCAAGACAGGTCGCTGAACAAAAGGAAAAGCAGGGTAATGAGCAAAAGGCACGACAGAAAGTTGATTTTGTGCAGAAGCAACAACATAGAACTGTAAATGAATGGAGAGCAAAATCAGAAATTGTAACTGTCCAGCCAGGAGGTAAAGTAGCAGAGCAGCAGGCAGAACCTATAAGAATAGAGCAGAAAACTGAGAAAGCACTGGAGTTAAAACAAGGTCAGGCAAAAGAAGCACAGGAAAATATATGGCAGAGTGTTAAGGGAAAATCTGTTACAAGAAGCACTAAAAGCCCTGCATCAGTTTCTGGGCACATTAATACTGAAAATGGATTCAGTCCTTTGTCACAACAAAATATAACACATAGTCAACCATGTACGACAGGGGAGAGTGGACAATGTAGTCAGATGGTGAAGGAAGGGCTACAATTCTTTAACATTTTAATATGAAGCTTATCACTTTAACATTTTAAATTGAAGTTGTTTATTAAAGAAAATAATGTTAGTATTATAGCTATTCTAGAAAATAGAGTACAAGAGAGGAATGCTAGTGGTGTAATAAGGAAAATTGCTTGGGGATGGGAATGTAAAACCAATTACTCTAATAGTAAGAGAGGGAGAATATGGGTGTTGTGGGATCCAAGGAAGCTTGACTTCACCATGACTGTTACTGAGCAAGTGATACATGGGACTGTGAAGTTTTCAGTAATACCTATTGAATTTCACTTTACTGCTACTTATGGGCTGCACACAGTTGAAGATAGGAAAAGCTTGTGGAGACAGTTGAGTAATATAGAGACTGGATTACAGGGACCATGGCTCATTATGGGTGACTTAAATGCTGTACTAAACCCAGATGATAGGTTGAATGGTTCTATGGTGACAGAAGCTGAAACTAGGGACTTCAGGGATTTCATCGTGGACACTGGACTATGTGAGCTCAAAACAGTTGGCAGGGACTTCACCTGGACTAATAGCCATGTATTCAGTAGAATTGATAGGGCCCTCGTTAATGCTGAATGGATGACCAATTTTACACAATTGGAAGTGGAAGTCATGGATCCTCGTTTCTCTGATCACTCCCCTCTATGTATTGATTTATGGAGACAATTAACAGGAAGCCTAGACCTTTCAAATTTTTGAATCATTTTTTGATTTTGCACCGGGTGTCCGAGTCTCTTTGAGCCCAGACTAATCCCGGGGGTGCACAGGCCCTCGGCAAGGAGTTTCCCGCAAGTGCACCACGGTTAATTCAGGTTTTACCCAGTCCGATGGCCCTCAGAAATTGTTTGCACCCAGTGGGTTTCGAACTTGAGACCTTGAAAGGGAGCAAACCCCAAGGCTCAAGTCAATTGCCACCAGGCCAACCCCTGAGGGTTATCAAATCATCTGGCTCACCATCCGAATTTTGTAGAAAAAGTTGAACATGGATGGGAAAAACTTGTTGTTTGAAATTGCATGAAGAGGGTGTGGCTGCAATTCAAAAATGTGAAATAAAACTACTGAATATACGGGAATTCTCAAATGTGGGCAACAGGATTCAGAGCACTAGAAAGAAGCTGGCAGACTTACAAGAGCAAATGAAGGATTATAGGCATGATGGTGTGCTTTTTGAGCAGGAAAGAACTTTAAAGGAAGAACTAGAGAAGTGGCAAACGGCGGAGGAGAGTATTTTTAGGCAAAAGTCTAGGATACAATGGTTGCAATTAGGGGATTCTAATACATCGTATTTCTTTACAAATGTCAAGAACAGAACTGCCCATAATCACATAAAGAGGCTGATGAACTCGTCTGGACAATGGATACAATCAGAAAATGAAATTGCTGGTGAGATAACAAGCTTTTATCAGAATCTACTTGGGACTGCTGCAGCACAACTACCTGCTGTTTACCCTGAGGTATTTACGAGAGGGCCTGTTTTGAATAGAAGCCAGCAACTACGTATGATTTCCCCAGTGACACAAGAAGAGGTTTACCAAGCTGTACAAGGTATAGATGACATGAAAGCTCTAGGGGGAGATGGATTCAATGCCTATTTCTTCAAACAAGCATGGTCAGTAATAGGGAAGGATGTTACCACTGCTGTATTGTATTTCTTTAATACTACTTTTATGTATAAACCTATTAACTGCACATTAGTGACCCTTATCCCTAAAGTGAAAAATCCCTCAACTGTTAAGGAGTTTAGACCTGTTTCCTGTTGTACGGTACTTTACAAAGTGATATCTAAGATCTTAACTAGTAGGCTTCAAAGTGTAATGGATATCCTTATAGACAATAGCCAATCAGCTTTTGTGCCTGGGAGAGTAATTAGTGATAATATTATCCTCAGCCATGAGTTGGTTAAAGGTTATGGGAGGAGGGGTATATCTCCAAGGTGCATGGTCAAGGTTGATATGCAGAAAGCATATGACTCCTTGGAATGGGATTTTATTGAGCAAGTTTTGGTAAATCTGAACTTCCCAGTACAGTTTATACAATGGGTGATGAAGTGCCTAAGGACTGTATCCTACTCCATTTGTATTAATGGATGGCCTACAGAACCATTTGCTGCTAAAAGAGGGCTGAGACAGGGTGATCCCATGTCACCCTTCCTCTTTGTCTTAGCCATGGAATATTTTTCTAGGCTTCTAAAGGGACTGCATGATGTTCCAAATTTTAACTATCATCAAAGCTGCAACTATTTCAATTGGGATTTGCTGACGATCTACTCATGTTCTGTAGAGGAGATGTAGTTTCTGTCCAGCTGCTTTTTGAGTACTTTCAGGAGTTTTCTAAAGCCTTTGGCCTTGTTGCTAATAACGAGAAAAGTTCTGTATACTTTGGGGGAGTAGATATGGTCACACAACAGGCTATCCTAGATCTGCTCGGATTTTCCAAAGGTGATATGCCATTCAAATATTTGGGAGTGCCACTTAGTACTAAAAGCTTATCGGTCATCCAATGTTTACCACTACTTGAAAGAATGCTTGGAAGGATCACAAGCTGGACATCAAAATTCTTGTCCTATGCAGGCAGGGTACAATTGATTAAGAATGTTCTTTTTTCCATTCAAATTTTTTGGTCACAAGTGTTTGTATTGCCGAAAAAATTAATAAAACTCATTAAAGCTACATGTAGAAAATTTCTATGGACCGGAGGCGTAGAGTTGACTAAGAAGGCATTGCTTGCTTGGGAGAAGATATGCTACCCTAAAGTTGCTGGTGGTTTAAATATATTGGATATTACCCTATAGAATATGGCATCTGTTAACAAGCTACTGTGGAACCTTTGTTGCAAAAAGGACAAGATGCGGGTAAAATGGGTACACTCATATTACATAAAGGAGCAGCAAATATGAGAGATTATGCCCACACAAGCATCATGGGTGGTACATAAGATCTTGAAGATCAGAAGCTATGTCCAAAAAGCTGGGATAATGGAGGCCGATCTAAGGAACATGACAGAGTTCTCTGTAAAGAAGATGTATATGCTTATGAGAGGAGACTTCCCTAAAGTGCAATGAAGGAAGATTGTCTGCAATAATCTTGGTTTTGAAAAGTGGATCTTTATTCTTAGGCTTGCAGCTCATGAGAAACTAGCTACAAAGGATAGATTGATGAAGTGGGGTGTCATAAGTGACCAAGAGTGCCCATTGTGTTTAACTCAGAATGAGAGCATTAATCACCTATTCTTCCAATGTGATATGTCAACTCAAGTGTGGTGTAAACTATTACAATGGCAGGGGATTCACAGAGCAGTCATGCCTTGGCTAGAGGAGCTTAAATGGGCAGAAGACTATGCTAGAGGAAGAAGCGCAACTGCAGAAATTTATCGAATGACACTGGCGGCAGGTGTGTATCACTTGTGGATAGAGAGGAATCATAGAGTATTTCAAGCTAAGCAAACAGATCCGAAAACTATTGTTAGGAGGATTATTCAGGAGATTTTTTATAGAGGATCCATGAGGAGTAGACTAAAAGTAACACTTACAAAGCTCAATTTTTATCCTGTGTAGAGGGAGCTTGGTAGTTTCAGGTGGTTAGTAGTACTTGATGTCATAGTTGGTTAGTTGCTTTGCTGCGGTTTGGAGATGTCAAACTGCAATAGTTTAGTTCTGCTTGTACATATCCCAAATGGTTATAAAAAAAATTTATTTACCAAAAATAATAATAATAATAATAATAATTCCTTAGGAAGAAGGCTTAGTCGTAAGATTCGTTAGATTTCGTGTTCGTTAGAAGTCCTTTTAGTTTGGTTATATATTTTTAAATCCGGAGGGAGAAGTATGAGCTAGAATCTCCTTTTAGAGAACCCATAATCATCTAGAAAAACAAAATATTTAGAATTTGAATGATATGACCTGAATAGAGTGGAATGGATATAGAGGATTCATACAACCGATTCTTGATTTAAAATAAAAAGGATTCATACAACCAATCAAACTAGTTAGACGTAGCTAATGAATGTATACATTTATCCAATAAATCTCAAAAGACTAATACATCTTTACCAAGGATCTGAATAGACGTGTAGATGGGTAGATATAAAGACAGTCTTGACCGTGAAAGAACTTTTTTTTTTAAATAAGAAAATTAATTTATGATTTGGCTTTAACGACCACCTACATTTTTAAATAAACAAAAAGAGTAACAACCCCCATCAGGGACTAGTACGATTCAATTCAACATTTTGTTAGTATGGGTTTGATTGTGTCGTAGCTCTATAATTTGGATTGAGTTTAGAAGAACTACATTGTTGATATTGATCCCCCAAAAAAGATGGTATTAGAAAATGAAACTGTGATCTGTTTCTAGTGGGTTATTTGAAAGAAATAGATTAATTAGTAGATTGTGTCTCACACAAATATCTTTAATAATTCATATCATATAAAATATAAAATAAAAAGCTAGACAATAATGAGAAAAAAGTTCTTGCAACTACAAAAATTACAACAACCTCAATGAACATACACTTTGTCAGTTAATTTTTTATATAACTCCAACACAAATTTTACGAACGGAAGCTCTTATTTTCATACTTCTCATTGATTACCTTAATTCTGAATCCATTTCATTTTGAGAGTAAACCTAATCATAACCAATAGACTTCAAACTTACCAAAAATTTACCGAGGCCTAAGCATGAGACTTCGAAGCTAAAATAGATATCATGTAAAGGAAATGACAACTTGCATTAACAAGGTAGTAAGTGAAGTTTTAGGTGTGTCAAAAGACCTGAGACCTCAATAACAAGAACCGTGGTGGTAGAATTAATAGGTGCAAAAATTATTAGTGCACGTCCTCGGGTCGGGAGTCCTTTTATTTTGATCAGAGACTTTTAGGATGTTTACGAATAAGTATGAGTTTTAGAAAACCTCTACTATGGAAAAGACCCTTCATTTCCCAAATCTGTGTACCTTTATGCTGTTTCCGACACTAACAACCAGCCAGAACCGTGATTTGTCTTGCTTACTCTTAAAACCCCACAAAGTAAAGAAGACTTGCGCCAGTAAATGGGAGGGCAAAGTTGAGCTTCATGCAAAAATAGCAGATCAAAATAACATACCAAGTATAGAAGTGCTGGTTGAGGCGAGTGGGTCAAAATACCAGCTGCTAAGGCAGTAACCAGTCCAACAGAATATCCTGATAGGGCATACCATATGTACTTAAACCCCTTCGGAGATGACATATCCTCCTTTGGAAGTGGTATATCCAAGATGCTTCCAGAGTCCCTGCTCTTTCTATGGTCAAAACAGAAAACTAATGCTAAAAGCATAGAGGGAATAGCCTGAAAATACATATAACAAATGAAAGCTTAGTCCACGTCAAATTGTTTAACAACAAAGTAATGACAGTATCACATCCAGAAGGACTAATCACAAACAAGAGAATCTGTAGGATCAACTTCATGTGATCACTTAACACGTTTATAACGTAAATGTGTATACATGTATATGCACTCAGCCTTAGCTACCGGACATTGAATGTCAGGAAACTACCTTTGAAAGCAATTTCAACTTGTGTGCACCTCGGCTATTCCACCGGGTACCTGCTATCACAAACCAACACAGGTACCGGGCACTCTCCCGGGTACCTGCACAAACACAATTATTACTGCACAAACACAGGTACCGGGTACCTGCTCTTGTTATATAACTTCCACAAATTTAAAACTACTACTTTAAAAACTTTTAATTGCCACAAGCAAAGTAATATAAAAGCCCACTTAATCGATTATACTATGTAGACACTAAATGTGTATCATATAGTATAGAAAGGAGCAAGTATGCACTTTGTTGCATTTGCATACACTACCTTATAAAAGAATGCAGTTGCATAAACAAAACCAGTAAAAACTATCTTGAGGAACTATCTTAAATTGACATCGTACTTGGTGGCAGTAAATTTGAACCCCCTCCTCCCAAAAATAATAAAATGAAAAGAAAAAAAAATAGTGAGTAAAGAAGTAAGTCAACAAGAAGCTAAATTTACTTATGACCAAGAAACTAAGAAAAGAGAGTGACAATGAGGAAGAAGGTATACACAACACAGCAAAATAAGTCCAAATTTGCCCCCCCCAATGCCAATATTAAAACCCCTGCCAGAAACAGGCGAATCATTTCTCTTGCTAGTCATGTTTACACCCAAAAGATTCACTTATCCAACAAAAAAGTATCTGAAATCCCAAGGCTCTAAGCAGTTAGCACTGTTCTAATCATATTGCATCCCACTTTCTCCATACACCTCTGAATAAGCACTACACTGCCGTAGCTCTATACTGAAAAGAGTCCTGCTGTTCATCGCACCACCCAACTCATCTAGACTTTCAGCAACTGCAATGCATGGTTCAACTACACAATTTTCTTATTTCCCCTTTTACTTAAATATTATGTTGTTGAGTGTGTGAATGAAGACGGATTACTGTCTGAACATGAAACTTCGTGCCTGAACTGGATATGGTTCAACTATGCAAAACTACTGATGTCTTTAGTTGTAAACAAAGATCTTTTGGCGAATTTAGGGAATTTCAAGCATCAATATGCAAATATCTTTTGATCAATGAGGACAACTCCTATCACTGAGAAGAATTGAAGTGTTCCATTTTGTGCCTCCCCCTCTAACAAAAATAAGGTGCAAAACAAGAGCAGTATAGAGGGAGATATTGACTAACACTAGTACTTATTTCAAAAAAGGAAACATATTTACCATGTCACCAAGACCCAGCATCATGAAGTCAGTAGCAGCATTTCCAGGCACTACCCCACCCAATAAATTTCTTGGGAACACAATCTTGACAGGCAACTCTAGTTTTTTGGTTATCAACCGCAATCCTGGAAGGCTCAAACTATTAGCCACTGTGTGTACAGGATTGGATGCTTGCTGAGTTGCCACAGACACCATGACGTTTGCGCCAAAGAATCTCTCGGAATAGAAAACCCAAAATATGTCATACACAAACAAGCAGACAAGGAGCATTGCACATATCTTAATGTTAGGAAGGCGAACATGGCTCACAAAAGCAATACAAAGAGAGATGCCCAACAAATTATTCAGTATCCAATGCCCA